GAAGCATCCTGCAGAGCCATTTCATTGAATATACTTTTCTTCTGAGACGGTGTCCTTCCAAACACTGGGGCATTAAATGTCTTCCAGGCCCAGAAAGTGGGGCCATCCCAGATGACAGTTGTTTGGGCTTCTGATGTTCTTTAGCATAATCCATTTTAAAATGGACAAAGCCCCAGGGGAGAGGGGGTTGTCAGAAGGGCTAATTGGCTCATCTGATCCTCCAGGGTTTTCCAGCTTGAGTTCAAACCCTCAGAGAAGGTGAGGGCCCCAGGTGTTCCCTAATGAGCCAGATCCTGAGCCTGCTTCCTGAAGCCTCCAGGGTTCACAGGCTGTAGGCATTCTGCCCATCACCCCACTCACCCTTCTCTAAAGCTACAGTAGAGGTGGGGGACCCCACAGGGACCAGAACCCAGGGTCAGGGAAGCCGGATGCCAACCTCAAAGACTCTGAGAAGAGAGTCAACCAAACAACACACAAGCCCAGCACCTGTCACAGACAGCACAAGGGTCTGAGCTGGAGAAGCAGCCAAGGGTGAGGCCGGTGAGAAGGGAGGCTACGACAGGGGAAGGTGAGAGACACCCTCCCCTGCAGAGCCCTGGAGCAGCCCCAGCCCAGGCAGTCATCTCCTGTGCCAAGCCCAGCACACATGGGGCCGTCCTTACCCCTATCCCCTCTGCAACATCCCTCTGCTCTGAGGGTTCTAGGCTTCTACGACCTGTTTCCCCTGGATTTCCTTCACCTCTCTGGCCACCTGTCAAGAGTCCCTCTGCACCTGGCCTTTGGAAGCTACAGCTGGGCAGGCCTGGTGGTCCTGGGCAGGCTCCTCATCTTAGGCTAACGCATTCCTGCCAACAGCCCTTCCTTCAAAGACTCCTAACCACCCCCAACATGCAGGGGCATACATACCCACAGCAGATCTGTTTCCTTCAGCTCTTTGTTCTCTGGAGTTCCCACCACTTAGCTCAAATGATTAGCCCTGCACTTAACAGCTGGAGGGCAGGGACAGGCTGTGCCTCACTCTGTATTTCCTCCTGTATCTTCACCCCATCACCATGGGACCCTAACAACTCTAGGTGGGCAGCAAAGAAAGAGATTCAGGCAGCAGAAGGAGAGGCAGGCCGGACCCTTAACCTAGCTCAACTTTGACAGCTCGGGCTCCACTATAAAACCTTGAGGGAAACTCCATCTTCCCACTGGGGCTGAACTTAAGAAAATGAGGTCACAGAGACTCCTGGCTAGGACTGCGACGCTAGGGCAGGCTCCCTGGGGTCCTTAGTGGCTACATGCCTCTCTGTGCCTCAGCGTCCTCCCCTGTACGAATGGTACAATGACAACATCTCCTCTGCGAAGAGGCCTTTGAGAAGCAACAAGGTCCCACCAGCAAAGTGGGACCCAGGGCCGGTGTTGAAGAATCCATGCTGTCAAGGGAGTCTAGCACCTTCAGCCCAACCACAGGTGTTGAAGAATCCATGCTGTCAAGGGAGTCTAGCACCTTCAGCCCAACCACAGGCAGCACTGGCTCCCCCAAAATGGAATTCCTGAGAGGATTTTAAAGCCAAATCTAAAGGCAAGACTTCATACAGGTGGCAAAACTCAGGCCGTTTTTACTCCAATAGTTGACAAGACTAGAAAGAAAAAAAGGCTCAGAAAAAAAACAGTGGACCCCGTATTGCATAGGATTAAGAAGGTTACACTAATTACTAGATACAAAGCACTTCCGTACCCTGCACCCAGAGTAACGAAAACCAACTCAGAAAGTGTATCGGCTTGGGTCACCCACCATCTTTGGAGTAACTTTCAAAGCTGGATCTAGCTCTCTAATCCCAACTGGTATCTAATCCCCAAGTGTTGTACTTCCTAGTAACTTAGAGACCATAGGAAGAGATAGGCACCGGCTCCCTCCTGACCCAGCCTTAGTCAGGACCAGCCCGGGCTGGAAAGAGGTAAAGCCAATGCAGCTTCAGGAACAGCCCTGCCAGCCCTGAGCTGGGTGGCCCAGGGCAGATGCCTTACCCAGCTGTTGAAAAGGGTGACCTTCCCATTGCCCTAGTTCCATATACAGCGGGAGCTGAGATCATTACCAGGCAACTGGAGCCACACGAGGTACGCCCAAGCATCGACTGATCAAATTATTATGATCTGATATTTTGCAAAAAAAAAAAAATCTTTGGTTGAAGAAAATACACTTGCAAAATTATTATATGCCCTTTAAGAACTGTCTCCCCAAAATGTTATTTGCACAGCTGCCTGCCCACTGTGACTTGCTCAGACTGCTGGGAAACAGGTCTTCCCCAGGTGTAAGGCAAGGGCAGAACTCCTGCATGTTCCTGTCAGGCTTTGCTCAGGCCTTTCCCTCTAAATGGATTACACACTTTTCTCCCAGCCCTACCCAGTTTCAGCAAATGGTGAGGATGGACTCCCTTCCTGCAAGCCCTATTTGCATGCTGCCTCCTCCAGGAAGTCTTCCCAGAGTCTGCAAGGAGGGCTTGGTTCCTTTATCTGTATCTCCTAGATTCTATGAACCACATGAAGGGGGAGGGCCAAGTTCATCTCATCCCTTGCCACATCCGGGACTCCTGGAGTAGTGTCTTGGCACTGAGCTGTCCCTAGGCAGCTATTCAGTGAAAGCCACCGCATGTCCCCTTTACCACGCGGCTGGCTGTGAGGGCTGCGGTCTGGGGCTCTGTTGGGCCTCCTTCAGATCAGCTGCAAGACTGGGAAGCTCAATATCAGTTGAACTTTCAGAGCAGGAGGGAGGATGACAATAATGGCTAATTCCACCATGGCTTCATGCTGGGTTCTTAACCCTCAAGGTACCCTACCTCATTTTGCAAATAGGAAATCCCAAGGGGCTTTTTTCTAGGGATAGAAAAACTGGTTTCCAGAGCCACAGGCGCCCAGACACCCTGCTGAGAGACGTCTAAAAGGGAGGCACGTACAACCCTGAGTTGAGGGGGGCCTAAGGCAGTGCTAGCAAGTTTCAGTGCTGTCCCCAGGGCCCCCCAGTCTCATCTTCCTGCCTCTGGTCTCCACCTCCTGTCGGAAACTTCCAGGAGCTCAGCTCACAGCCACATGTTTCTGCCAAGTTCAGCCTTTGTTCTCCCTCCCAACAAGACTTTCTTTTAATCAGTAGGAAACTGCGGGCTGGAGCCAGAGACCAGAAAAGCCTTGGGGAAAACACAACTGTCCTTTCCAACACCTCCCCCTCCCCCAGCTGGCCCCAGCACAGTAAAGCCCAACAGGTCAGAATTACACAGGACAGCCAGGCACTGACCCTGGTTCCCCACAGTGAGAAAGAACAGGGCCCTCTGTATCAATGGTCACACGGCCCACTGGCAGCCAAGGTGAGTGGCAGCAAATTAGCAATAGGGCACATTGTCTTCTCCAAGGTCCTTTTTTAGATGACAGCTTTCCTGTGAACCCCAGAGCTCACTGGAGCCTGAGGTCAGGGTCACCCAGCCTTACAGAACTACAGTCTATAGAAAGGAGCCAGGCAACTTTCCAGCACTCTTCCTAGACTACTTCAAGCTGAACTGCCCAAACTCAAGGCAGCTAGCCCCACAGTAAACAAAATGGGTTCCAAGATGTTCTGTTCAAGCACACCAATGGGCCACTTCAGGTGGGGCTTTTCTATGAGGGTGGCCTGTGGTCCTGAGCCACTCCAATTTAGCAAATGTGGGTACTCATGTACAGTCACGGGCATTGGTCAGGGGAAAGTCTTCTCCAACAGCAGGCAGGAAAGAACTGCCGCTGGGGCTTTGGGGAAGCCTGGCACCTGGGATTTGACCCACCCTGTCTCTCTGGGCCGGTTTCCTCCTTTATGCAGTATGGGGCTCTGAGGTCCTAGCCATTTCCCACAGGAGTGCTCTCCTCCCACAACAAAGGTCTCCTCTGAGTTTTCAAACTCTCCCTGGCAGTGACCCGAATGCCTTCTCTGGCCCACACCCACCTCCTCCACCCCATGTGCTAGCAGGAGCCACAAGCCTCTTGGCACCCACACTGGACTCTGCGCCTCCCCATGCTGTCTCCAGTCCTGAAAAGTGACCCTGGACATGCCAAGGCTGCAGCTAGTGCCCAGAATAGCCGGAGCTTCTCCAGGAAACTTTAGAACCAGTCCTTCCTCCCTCCCCTCAGTCTCCCCCTAAACCCCCAGGCAGCATTATCTACACTGGTGACCTTTTGATCCGGAGGGTGGCTGTCGGAGAATTCAAAAGAACTAAGCTAACCCAGGAATAAAGAATCCAAGATTGCAAGAATGGTTTGGAGTTGAGCAGAAACAAAGACTGAGGAGGGCCAGGTTTGACTAAGGGTCCCAGAAGCCCCAGAGTCAGAGAGGTCAAAGGTCATGGCTCTAGGGCTCACAGCTTCCCTGATCAACAGGCATTGTGTGTGTCCCCAGAGTAGGGACGGAGAAAAGCACAGCCATGCTGTGGTTCTAGAGTACAGGGAGGAGGTTCTCGGGCACCTACATGCTACAAAATGCACCCCTGCGCCCCAGCGGGGCATCAGGGCCTCCGGACTCCAGTAGCACCCCCAAATGCTCCCCACTTTCTAATTTCCTCCTACCTCCCCTAAACTGGCTGTCCCGTGGACAACTTACTGTTCCTGCCCTGTCTCACTTTACTCAAGAGCAAAATGGAAGCAGCTGCCCCCATCCAAAGGGGGAGGGCACTGGAGCAGACACCAAAGAGGCTTCCAGGGCAGAGAGCTCCCCACCCCCACCTCGGTGGAATGTGGCTCGGGTGTGTTGGAAAATGAGGGCCCCATATTTGAAATAAGTCGTCGTCGTCCCCCCCACCCAAGCGAGGGAAGGCATCAGGAAAGAGGCGGGAGTGTGGGTTGGGGAGGGAAGGTGGCCCCGGGGTCCGTGCAACCATCCTGGGGACACAGCCAGGCACAGAGCACGCGCTACGAGTCCCGGCAGCTGCAGAACTTCCGAGGAGCGCGGGGCCGGGGTGGGGACCTGCATCCCGGGGGTCCGTGGGCCGGGGAATCCCTACCTCGGGCCGCCAGCAGCGAGAGGCCGCCGAGCAGCAGCAGCAGCAGCGGGACCGGGCGCTCCATGGTCGGGCGGCGGACAAAGGCGCGGCGGGCAGCGGCCTCCACGCTCGGTCAGACCGGGGAAGCCACACTGGGCCGCGCGGCGCCGAGCGTTCAATTATCCCGCCCGGAGGAGGCGCGGCGGGGGCGGGGCCGCCCAGCTCCCTCCCCACCGGCCCGGGGACCCTCCCTCCGCCGCCGCGCTGGGGACCCCGACTGCAACCCAGGCTCTCCAGGAGGGGTGCACGGGGCGCCTTCCGCACGCTCCATCACGCACCCCCAGCTCGGCACCCCCCAACCCCGATGCACCCTCTCCAGGGTCAGGGAGAGACCCAGACCCGGCGGGGCTCGGCCTTCGAGGTCCCAGGCCCCCCGCAACTCAAGGCTCTCCACGGAGAACCCCACACCGTGCATCTGCTCCTTTCCCGCCATTGCCTCCCACGGCGCGCATCACTGAGATTCTGCAAATCCGCGGTGGGTCCCCGGGGCTAGGAGGGCCTAACAGACCCCCAACACCGGTGGTGTGTTCTGGGCTTCCGCAACGTGGAAGCCCAGATGACAGGGGACTTTGACCTGGGCAGTCAGGAGGCCACAGGACAGGTAGCCAGGCAGCCTCAGGCTTGGGCCAGCAGGAGCCAGTTTGTGTAGACTGTATGTCTGCAACCCACAAACAACTTTATTCTGTTTTTCTTAAATCCCTGTGCAGATAAATTTGGGGGTCCATTAGACACCATTGAGCTGATTGTGTAGGACCAGCAATCCCATTCCCAAGGATAAAAGCACACAGACATTGGATTAGTCACACATCTTCATAACCCTGTTCATAACTGTCCTGGTGAGAGGCCGCCTGCCCGCCCCCACCCCAACCTTATCCCCAGTGAATGAGTACCCCAGATTATAACCAGGCAGAGCAGGACCAGCCACAGATGAACTTTTACAGTGTGAGTCTGTCAACCAATGACAGGGCAGGTCAGAGGTCAGGAGACTGATGACTGGGGGAGGGGGGCGGTGCCTGGACACCAGTGCTGGGGGAGGAGTAATTTCCTTAATATGGTTCAGTTTGTGAAAATATATCAGGCTGTTCACTAATAAAATATCTCCCTTACCTTATTTTATTTTGAGAAAGGGGTCTTGCAGTGTTGCCCAGGCTGGCCTTGAATCCCAGGGTTCCAGTGACCCTCCTGCCTCAGCCTCCTAAGTAGTTAGGTCTACAGGCATGCAGCCCTGTGCCCAGCTGCTCTTTTCTCAATGAAACCTCATCTCCTTAAATGATTCCTGATGCTTGAGGTTTGCAGAACCCAGGAAAGCTGGTGGAAGGCCTGCTAACTGACTGCCCCTGGGTTCAGAAGGCCTCCCTGAAGAGGTGAGGTGAGACTTGGCATTGAAAGATTGACTGGGGATATGGAACTGTTGCTGGAGTGCTTGCCTAGCAAGCACAAAGCCCTAAGTGCCATCCCCTGCATTGCATCAATCAGGCATTGTGGGGCACACCTGTGATCCCAACAGTTAGGAGGCATAAGCAAGAGATCAGAAGTTCGTGATCATCCATCACCTTCACAGTGAGTTCAAGAACATAATGGGGTGTGTAAGACCACCTCAAAACAAGGAAGGAAAAAGGAGGGAGGGAGGGAGGAGGGAAAGGAGGAAAGAAGAGAAAGGCAGGGGAAATAGCCTCTGAAGAAGCTCAGAGGCTCTGGCACTGGGGAAGATGTTTGGGGTGTTCTTCCTAGAGATGGTACCAGAGGCCTGAGTATGTACAGGTGCCAGAGAGGAGGGGGCAGACTGGAGACATGTCAGTACTTTGTTATGAATTTGATTATTTTAAGCCAGTCTGCAATAAAGACACAGAATTTGGAGGACGAAGAGAAAGTGACCAGAAAGAAGAGCAAGGGCTGTTCTCAGCCCTTCCCCGGCTTGGCCAGTTCACTGTCATTGTCACATCTGCTTTTGGGGTCCTTGCCCCAGGCCTGCCCCTACAGCCTTTCCAGATCATCTTGTCACGTGCTTAGTGACTCGGAAAGCCAGGCATCAGAGAAAGAGGCACCAGTTGGGAACCCCCAGGACTGGCTACAGGTGGAGAGTCAGGAAAATGGACCCCTCTGAGGCTAGACCATCCAGGTCAGATCCAGGCTTGACCACTTCCTGGCTCTGTGTGAGTCACTTACTCATGTGGTGTCCTCAGATGTCCTCATACGTTAAATCGGATGATAGGACTTCATTCTGTCGAGAAGTGAGGGATACAAAATACCTGTGACTAGGTTGTCACCAGGACTACCGTGGTTCACCTGCAACAGCAAAGGCCCTCATGAGCTAACACAGCAGGATGGTGTCGGTCTATACCTCCAGTTCAACCTCCTGGTGCCCTCACCAGCACAGCAGGACAGCACTGATCCCAAGGTCCCCCCAGCTCTCCTTCTCCTGCCTGGCCTTGGGCAAGTCCTTTTCTGGGCCTGTTTCCCTTTGTGCAAAATGATGGGGCTGGACCAGATTGCTGTCAGGTGTATTTCAGACCCCAAATCCTAGGTGACTTCTTCACTCTGAGTAGACCCCAACTCTCAGATGACCAAGGACAAATTGAAGGCCTGAGCTTCTTGCAAATGTGGAGAGGCAGTTTGCTGCAAGCCCTAGACACCCCACACGATCTCCACAAAATGCAAAGCCCTGGCTGCCCTGTATCTATGCCTCAGGGTTGGTCCATAGCAAGCAGCCTTGAGAGTTCAGATAACATCTCTGGACAAACTTACCCCAAGAGTAGTGAGTTCCCCATGAAAGTCATCAGAATCTACTGGGTGTGGCAGTACACACCTGTGATCTCAGCACTTAGGAGGCAGAGGCAGGAGAATGTGAGTTTGAGGCCAGCTTGGACTACATATTGAGACTCTCCTTTAAAAAAAAAAAAGAGGTGGGGTACTGGAAGAGGAGAGGAGGAGGAGGAGGAGGAGGAGGAAGAGGAGGAGATCAGCATCCACATGAAGTCAATTATGTCAGACCCTAATGAAAATAATCCATCAGTAGGGATGGAGGATGTGAAGGAGGGGATCTCACACAAAATCGGCTAGTAACAGGAACCATCCACACAGGAGACCGCCAGAACCTCAGCCTGGCATGAAGGGCACCCCGGCCTTGCCCAAAAAATACTTCTGCAAAGATGATTGAAACAATTGCCTGTCCAGTCTTGGACTGAAACCACCCTTGTGGTTGATCTTTGTGGCTAGAGATTACTGTTTCAAAGTCATTTATGTAACCGTTAGTCCCTGTAAAACCTCCCTCTTTCCTGCAACTCCTTAGACCTGCCAGTAGCTCACCATGCATTAATAGTCCCATGATAGTGCCACCCCTCGATGCTCTCTGTCATTGGAGAGAGTACCCCAGCATGTAGGTCTTAAGCTTAGTGTTCTCTGAGTCCTAGTGTATGCAAGGCATCCAACACCTATCCTTGGACTCAGCCCCCTGGAGCTAGGAAGACATGGGAATCAGCCTTGTGCTGCAACTGGTTACTTCCGCATCTCTGAGCAGGAGTCTCGGGACTGGAGACTGACACCACTAGGCTGGAATCCATGTCCTCTGACTCCGAGCCCCAGCTCTTCTGAGAACCACTTTGTATCTGGGTGTCTGTTTCCTACCAAACACCTGTTTGTTTAGAAACATGTCTCTGTCTTGCTAGGACGGGTCATTGTACACCTAGTAGATGCACCTCGTGAACATTGTAGGTACACCTAGTTGCCATTCTCCTGTCTTGGGACAGTCAAGTTCTGCGGGGTTAGAAACCGTGGTAGTGACACTTGTGCTCCAGACTGGGCTGGGTCTCTGTGGTTCCTAGCACGGGTGTCCTGGAACTGCGTTTATCTGCTGTAGCCAGAAATTGAGAGATTCACATTTGGGCAGAGCAGAAGTGGGGTCTCTCCACCTCCCATCCAGCGTGGACTAGCATTGCCTCATGTGAGCTGTTTCCACCAGCAAACAAAACAAAAAGCCTACGGTCCTGTTTTCATGTTCAGAGAGGACTGCACATTTCTCACATGTTTTGGTTTTTTAATTTCTCTGGGTCATTTATTTCCTAACTTTTATTGGGTTATGGTAAGGCAGAATTGCTTTTAACAACAAAAATCTAGAGCTAGAGGCCTGAAGAGATGGCACAGTAGTTAAGACTACTTGAGGACCCAAGTTCAGTTCCCAGCACCCACACGAGGCAGCTCACAACCTTCTGTAACTCCGGAGGATCTGACACCTCTTCTGGCCTCTGTGAGAACCCACATACACATAAATAAAAAAGGTGTGGTGGTGCACACCTTTGATCCCAACACTCGGGAGGCAGAGGCGGGCAGATGTCTGTGAGATAGAGGCCAGCCTGGTCTACATAGTGAGTTTCATGCCAGCTGGGGCTACAGGGAGACCCTGTCTCAAAAAGACCAAGAAAAAAATGTTTTTAACTTCTAATATTTAGAATAACACAATGCCCAGCCATAGCTTACTTATATATACAGTTGGATTGAACTAAATTATGCCAGAAACCCAGAGTGACATAATTATTGCAATAGTAAGTGATTCAGTGAAATATTATGCTGTTTCTGAGAAGGCAAAATGGGATGTGACAGTAGATACGGTGTTTGTGAACTAAGCATATGTGAAAATACAGAAAATAAAACTGTGTGTGAATGTGCAGTTGTGACCGCCATATTCATGTGGCGAAGCCTCAGCAGCTAAAAGCAAGTGGATGTCATGTTTGATGAGTGACATTTTTATTTTTAATTTTTCAAAAATATGACCTAGTTTTTCCAGAGACGAATTGTGCCAGAAACCGAGAGGGACTTAATTATTGCACCTCAACTTGAAGCTGTTTTTTGGCAACCAAAGGGGGGGATCCATTTATGATCATGTCTATTGTTCTTGTTTTTAGACCAAAAAAGAAAACAAAGTGCCCCATGTTACTGAGAGAGATGAGGGTACTCCTGGCACTAAGTCCTGATCATTTTTCTCAGGATGTTTATGTAAAAGTCAGCAAACTTCATGAGTTGTGGGTTTGCTTATAGTTTGAAAATTTTAAGTTAAATGAGACTGGTCTTCAGAGAGGTTCCATGTGGACAGAGAAGGATAAGCGCCCCCAGTCTCTGACCGGGTCC